CAAGAGCTGTTTGATTTCAGTTTCTGTGAACTTGTCTGGTTCCCAAAACAGTTCAGCACCTGAAAGCAGCAGTCTTTAAAACATAGCTGAGGTAACTTACTTGCATTGTACGTACACCATGATACCTTCAGCCTTTTCCTCCCACTCTTAACTTCCAATGTTTTCTTATGTAGCAGGTTTGAGCTTTGCTGCGGTGGGATGGGACAGAGACAGGCTGGGTCACCTTACCTCTGCCAGTGGGGAAGAAGGCTCAGCGCTGCCTAGGGCATCACTCTGAAGCATGAGCAGAGACATTTAGGCTGATGAAGCATTTTGCTGGCTCAGGCTGGGTGTTTTTTATGGGCTCCAAGTTGAACCAGCCAGTTCAACAAAGCCAGGGCCAAGCCACACACGCTGGCAGCCACACCAGCCATGTGTCCATGGTAGCACTACGCTCTGGGGCATCCTTGAGGGGTAACACCTCCACCCAGCCCAGATGTGACCAGAGAAAGCTGTCATTGCTCTAGACTGAACAGACAAAACGTGACACCTCCAGGTGCCATCCACAACATCCCACAGCAGAGACCTACAGCGGGCAGATGACTTGCACCTAAAATGCCTGTTTCTCCATCATGAAGACATGAGGATATTTGCAGTGTAAAGGAGGTGATGCTACCCCAAGCATCCGCATGTCCCAGGGTGCCTGGCCTCGCTCACGCCAGCCCAGCTGCAGGAGAACCAGCCAAGCCAACTCTGCAGTGGAGTCAGCGCGGCTGCATGTGCCTGCGGAGCACAGAGTGTTCAGGGACTGTGGGTTTGGGGCTTTGGCTAGCTGGGAACAACACTAAAAGTACACATAGGTCTATATCAATTTTTGAAGAAACCAGAAATGGTCAGAAATCATGTTCCCCTCTCCCTCTGCTCCAGCAAAGCGCTGCGATAAACCTGACCTTGACTTCAGAGCGTGGACCATTATTTCCTGGTGGCAGAGGCTGAGGAACAGCCCCGTCTTTGGTGCCTGTCATCACCCTCTTCAAAGGATTTATCACCCCACGTAGCAGCAGAGGCTCCTTTCTCCGGCACGGCATGGGCACAGCTCCCTGGTCCATCCTGCCATGCCTGCTCCGTGCCTGGGCTGTGGTCAATGCTCCCCTGCCACCCCGAGCAGCTTCTGCTTCGCCAAACACCTCGTGGCAGGGCAGGAGGGGTGCAACGCAAAACAGGTTGACACAACACCCGCGCAGCGGTGAATATCAGCTAAATTCAGGTTGCACGTAGGCTGGCAGAGGTCAAGGCATCAGCGCTCTGCAGCCTGCATGGGAGCCGGGGCTTGTGCTACGAGGCCTGCGGCTGAACGTGAATCTCCATTAAATAACTCTTTATAAGAAACGAGGCTGTATTTCTGCTACATTTTTTAAACCACAGGTGAGCAAAGCCTGACCTGTGCAATTACCCAGGAGACCACATCGCTGTTAACCACAGCAGCTGCAGGAAGTTCACAGCCACAGAGTATTTACGCAGCATTTCGTGCCCAGCAAGGAACACGCCTCACAGCACTCCCCTCCAAAATGCAGGCAGCACGGGACAGGGATGGAGCGGGACAACCTACAAAGAGCTGAATCACAGCATATACACAAACACACTCCTGGTAAGTGCTTAATTCCTCCACTGAGTCCTCGTTACATACCAATAATCTGCCCTCAGCTAGGCTGGTGAAGTCCCCTTCCTTTCTATGGAAGTTGTCTATGAAAAATGCAGCAGCAGGCAGTGGCACCAGCTGTCACCGACGGCACCACGTCAGTCCCCATCCTCCTCCGCCTGCCTTCTAACTATTTTTGGAGAATCTCTGCAAGTCATTCCTCACTCGGAGCAGGCAGCATCCTGGCTCTGGCTCATCTGTTTGTCTCGAAGCGATAAACCAGGCCTGGGTGGAGGCTGCGTCCCGCCTAAGCACTAGATCCTGAGACTTCACACTGAGATATTTGCATTGAATGTTATTTAACAGAATTAATTGGACCGACTGCTTTCTAGAAGGGTCTGTGCAACTAGTCAGACAAATGACTGTGTTTTAATGAAGTCCTGGCTGAGGTGGGGTGGGTGGTTGCACAGAGTAGCCGATTTCGGTGAGCCCAGAGCCCTCCCAGCGCGGCATCAGAGGCAGAAGGGCAGGGGAGCAGTGGACCAGCTGGAGCAGAGATGGCTCCGGCTCTATTTCTTTTGCATAACCACTAAATATTTAACCTGAGCCCAGATTAAAAAGCTCAGCCTTTTCCAAATTCTGTATCTATTCCCTCTGCCAACGTGGGGCTGAGCAGCAGTTCCTGCTAAAACCCAACCAGCTTTTTTCACCCCTCCTTCCCCAAAGGAGGCTGAAACGCCAAAGAACCAGAAATAATAATAATAAAAAAAAGCATACATAAACATTAGTGTCACACACACAGAATTACTGCAGTAAAATTGCTCCTACAGGAAGGAAGGATGGAGCCAAATGCTCTCGCTACCACACAAATCACGCAGGCTGAGGAGAGGACACACGTTTCTACAGTACCCAGGGGAAACACAAACACTGAATTACCTTAAAGATGGATGCAAATATACAGATGGGTTTAAGAGGAGTCTGTCCCTGAGAGCAAAACAATGAGACAAAGGAAGAAAGCGATCATGAAGATGATGGCAGCAGGCAAAGGAGCTTGTATTTCTGTACCTAACAAGCCTAGCGAGCAAAGTGAAATGGAGGATGGAGCATCAGTCACGTTTACGTGCAGACTAAAGGACAGATGAGGACGGGCACTGGTAGCACTGGTACAAACCCGCTCCAGCCCCTACCGCTGCCGAAAGCTCCAGATGGCTTCCAGCATGCTGCTGATGTCCAGCTGTGCTTTCCTGGGCGATGTAATTTGGCACCTCTGGGGGTTGTGTGTCCTACCACACTCATGGCATCACCACCACATGCAACGGGGTGTGCAGCAGCTGAGTTCAGCACAGGCAGAGCCACACGAGCACGGGGCCACTCACTGCAAGGTTGGGCTGAAGGTGGGTCTTCGTCAGAGGAAAATCCTGTGCCACAGTCAGTGCCTTGGTCCTTAAGCGGACTACAAGGATACCTACCTGCACCGTGGGGCATGGCTCTTCGCACGAGACATGCAGTTCTGCCTTTGCCGTGAAAATTGATACAGCTTTTGGTTGGGTTTGAGTCTTTCTGACAGCATCTATGTGGTACTTATCTGAAATCTTCCTGGGACTGGAGAGACAGACACCGAGCACTAGCAGAAACCAAGGGAGCATCTTCAGTGGGATGATCTGGCAAATTTAAACCCAACCTCAGCTCTTTCCTTGGCAAAGATGATGTCTGCAGCCTATTTTTGAGCAGCCCTGTGGCACCGAGCCCTGAGACTTTCTCAGCACAAAGCCTGCACGAGGCAGGTACCCCTGGGCTGCTTTGGGAGAAGATGTTTCTGCTTGGAGACCTGGTTCATCCATTTTTTAACCTCCCTCTCCCCTCAGCTTCCTTGTACCTAGCCTACACAGACAGCATAGCCCTAAGGGCAGTGACGGCTCTTTTGCTCTCTTTTTGGGAAGGCTGGAAATAGGGCAGGCTTTCTAAATACAGACTGATCCCCCATACAGGGGCTGACAACCACATTTCATCAATAGTAGTAGCAGCCATAATGGGGAAGTAAATTGGGTCTGTCAAAACACAGCAATTAATTTGATAGGTAGTAGTTGCAATAAATGGGAGTAATAAAATGTGGTGAAGCCAGTGCTGACTCAATTAGGAGAAATCTGGAGCAGGCAGAAGAAATGTAGCAAACACTGTTAACAGAAACCCAGAACTTAGCTGTGAACGTTCAACAGCTGGATTTAAAAAACACTCTGCAACTGGAAAAATTACAAACGATCCATTGCAGAGCAGCCACCGTTAATGACAGGCTTGAACCTGACCATGGTCTGCAGGACGTGCAAGGCTCCATGAATCACTGCACCTTCTGGGAGATCCTGCACAAAGGCCAGGATCCGGTGCCACCCGGACACCCGGCCCCGACGACCGTGGAGCTCAGAGGGTAAAGTGACAGTTGGCAGCACTCACCCACGGCTTCCCGGTGTGCGGAGGTGCTCTCATGGGAGAGGCAGCCATTGCAAAGCAAGAATTGCAAAACAGGACCATCTTCATTTTAGTCCCCTTCTACCTGGTGGATGTGCCTGCCATTTTAACAGCTGCCTTTTGAACTTTTCAGTGCTATTAAACAAAGCAATAAGTAACACCCAGGAGAGGATTTGCTTCTTCCAGGTCTAAGGAATGCTAAAAAAGCCCTCTCTTCTCCCATTACTAATTTAAGCACTATTTCAAATCGCTGGTGTCTTAATGGTGTCCTCTAAAGGAACAAAGGCTGCAGCAAACATGAAAGACCTCCTGCTGTCGCAGACTCCTGCACTCGCAGCTTCTGCACGAAGCATTTCCAAGAACAGAGCCCAGCACACTGTGTATAGGTAATGCAGGGAGTAATTAAAAAAAAGATTCAGCCACATCACTTAGTTTCCTCCTCTCCAAATCCCAATAAGTGAGCTTAAAGGACAGATCCATTTTAAGAATCATCAATTAGGCATCAAATACCAGAAAGCAGGCTCAGCTGTCAGAGGATTTCCTGCAAACTGTATTCTCAGTATGGGCACAGATGTAAGATGCTTGAAGCAGCAGTGAGTAGGGCTCTGGCAATTTCACATGCAGCCTAATGAAATAAATAGAATGTGAAATGGGAGTTTTCTAATTGCTTTTCTTTTTTCTTACATAGAAACACAGTAAGTTATTTTCTACCTATAACTAGAAGGAGCTTTAATATTACCAAAGCTGATTTATCTCTAAAGATACTGCCACGGGAGAAGCTCTGTGGTGGAAAGCTTGGGAACTTGTGGCTTCTTTTTAATCTCAGTTCCTTGCGGGCAATTACACAGCAGCGTGGCCAGAGAGCAGCAATGGCTGTGGGTGCTGCCCTTCTGGCAAGTCCCACTTTTGGGGTCCCCTGTCCAGCTACAGAGGTGGAAACTGTGCCTGGCGTGCAGGAACTCTGCAGAGCCTTTATGCTACAATGTTATCTGTTCCTGCTAGGTACTAGAAATTTATAGTAATCCAGACTCACTCAAATCTTATTTTAACACAGCGCTATTCATAACATTTGCACTGATGTTATATTTTAGATGTGTATTAAGGGTGGTTTTACTAGAGAACAACCCACTACAAATTAAGAACTGGATGGGCTTAGTATCTAGCTCTGTTTGCCCCTGTGGAAATAACACTGTAATCAAGAGATAATTCACTGAACAATGAACATTCCCATTTAGACTCGGTTCACTTAAAATCAATGTCATTAGATTCAACAAATCTATTTAAATTTGAAATAATTGTTGTTAGATTCAACCAGTATAGCATTTTTCAAAGTTTGAAATAATAATCCACATTCCTTAAAAAAAAAAGCATCCCTGCTGTAGTGTTTAAGATACCGACACTATTTGTTGAAGAGACTTAACCAATGTCTTTCTTTTAAACAGAATGGTTTCAAGATTGGTTCTCAAAGCTCCAGCTGTGCATGAATTAATTTAGGATGAAGTCAATTGTTACTGCCAAAAATTGACACTGATGGCATGAGACTGAGAAATTAAGTGCAGAAGTTAGTGCAGTGGAGAATTGGCACAAAGACCACGCACATTCTTTTTGGGCATTTCCAAGCACTTACACTGCTGGGCAGAGGCCAGCGCAGCACGGCCAGAGCTCCATCCCTGACCTGACATGTTTTTGTAAAGCAAGGGCACTGGACACAGCAGCACAACAGTGGAAATTATACATGGTTTTTAAAAACCCTTTAGTCCAGTACAAGGAGCCTGAATGCAAACATGGGGCTGAAATAAGTAGAGATAGAGAAAGATGCTGGGTTTGTGTCAGCCGAGAAGAATTTGACTAGCAACTTTAGAAAGGAGACAAACAGAAGTAAAAGTGGAGGCTTACAGGTCATGGTTGAAGGCCTAAAGAGATTTAAAAAGGGCTTTGAGATTGATAATGTGACTAATCAAACTTCACAGCTACATTAGATCAAAGGCTGGACTTGATGATCCCAGAGGTCTCTTCCAACCAAATCGATTCTGTGATTCTGCGAAATGAACTTTGCTTATTCTGAGCAGATAACAAAGCACCCGGCTCCAGGCAGGAACCAGCCACAGCACTAAAGGTCAAGAAGTTTTTCTACCAGCTGGTTAGCGAGTGGCATGGGCTTTCAAGCATCTCAAATGAAGGTGGAAGGGAACAGGTCCCTTTTGGAAACAGGCTCAGGGTACTAGAAGAAGAGACCACATTGAAATATCAATTCAGGCAGGATCTGAAAAGAATAAATCCTGCCTTGATCTGAATTAGCTGTCCTGGATAGTGAGAAGCATACAATACATTTTTCTTCAAATTTCATGAAAGTTTCCCCATATTAGAGCTATGCAATGCAGTGACCAGGAATGATAGCGAAGATACGGGCAGGGATGTGTGTCAAATTAGCAATAACCAATTTGGAAGGCAATGAGCCAAGGGAAACAAATGAGGACAAATCCCTTGTGCTAAGCTGGTGAAGGGGCTGTTACTGCCCTGCTCGTCAGATATGTCCCCACAGCAGCACTTGTGTATGGGGTGTTTAAATGTTAAACTAGTGTCTAATACTACCTGGTCCCGGACTCAAAGGCAAAGCCTTTACTGAAGTCTTCAATACACACTTGGGCCTTAAAGCATTATCATCCTTAATTGAGCTGAGCCCTTAAATCCCCACACACCCGTGAAAGAGCCTCCTCTACTTGCACTGTCAAACATGCAGTGAGACTCTTAGCACACCCTCATGGGAGTCTGCTTCGCATGGTACTGGGATTTTGGGTGTAAAAGAATTATTTTGGGACAACGCAGCTTTGTTGTGAACTGCAGCCCTACAGATCCTGTGGGCTGTGAACATGAAAATAATTGTCCTAGGTCAGGCTAACAGTCCAGCTGTTACTTACTGGGCTGATGGCCCAGAATCCTGGCTCTGAAAGGGATCAGTAACAAATATGAGAGAGAAAGAATAAGAACCAAGTAAAGGACAGAGGAATCCTCCCCTCACCCTTAAAAATCCAGATCATTGTGTTTAAAAATTGCTGATGAACCTAATAGTCATTAATTTGTCTATTCCCTTTTTAATGCCAGTATAGCCCTTTATATCTAGCCTCCAAAATATCCTGTTGCAATGTGTTCCGCTATTCCATAACTGGTAGTGTGAAAAAATACTGTATGCTTTCTCAAATGAAAAAGCAATGTCAAAGTGTTCTCTACTGTCTGCCCATGTGTCTCCACGGTGTCCCTGCCCAGACCTGGGCCCCAGACCACAGACAAACCACATCATCTCATTTTGAGTTTATAAAACATGCAAACTGCTCATCTGGCATGTTTTCTGTTGTCCATATAAAAGAGAGAAGAATTAAACCCTCCACTACATATCTAGACTAGATTCTAATTAAACTTATTTTAACTCACCAACCTCTAATGGACCTTTGATCACAACATGTTACAAACCAACAGGTTAAAAACCAGACTCAAGTTTAGCACCTTACACGTGTTTAGGCCAAACCCATCTTACAGGAAGAACTGCATCTATAAAAAGATTTTTCAGGCTGCTTTAATGAATTGTATTTTAATCCTAGAGGACTTGAAGTAAATTTTACCTTCAGTGTTTGATTTAGAAGGGAGTTTTATCCTTAAATCATAGAATAGGTTGGAAAAGACCTTTAAGATCATCAAGCCCAATCGTTAACCTAGCACTGCCAAGTCCACCACTAAACCGTGTCCCTACGCACCACATCTACACGTCTTTTAAATACCTCCAGAGATGATGACTTCATCACTGCCCTGGGCAGCCTCTTCCAGTGCCTGACAACCCTTTCAGTGAAGACATTTTTCCCAATATCCAATCTAAACCTCCCCTGGCATAACTTGAGGCCATTTCCTCTTGTCCTATCACTGGTTATTTGGGAGAAGAGGCTGATCCCAACCTGGCTACACCCTCCTTCCAGGTTGTTGTAGAGAGCGATCAGGTCTTCCCTCAGCCTCCCCTTCTCCAGACTAAACACCCCCAGCTCCCTCAGCCGCTCCCCATCAGACTTGTGCTCCAGACCCTTCACCACCTTCGTTGCCCTTCTCTGGACTCGCTCCAGCACCTCAAGGTCTTTCTTATCGTGAGGGGCCCAGAACTGAACACGGCACTTGAGGTGCAGCCTCACCAGTGCTGAGTACAGGGAGACGATCCCTGCCCTGGTCTTGCTGGCCACACTATTGCTGATACAAGCCAGGATGCTGTTGGCTTTCTTGGCCACCTGGGCACACTGCCGGCTCATGTTCAGCCGGCTGTCAACCAACACTCCCAGGTTCTCTGTCACTGGGCAGCTTTCCAGCCACTCTTCCCCATGTCTGTAGCGTTGCTACATAAAAGATTTGCAAGCTGCCTCCTTCATCCTCCCCACACCCCTTTACTCTGCATGTACAGCAGAGCCAGGCAAGGCTGTATATACGTACATCAGTAAGTTCCCTGGAGCAGACATGGACCTCTCCTCCCGCCTCGTCTGAACCTCGAATGGATTTCCAAAGGAGCGTTTTCTTAGCATGGCCTTCACTAGGATCTTTGAGGAAGAAAAACAGACCAGTGAGAACAGCGGGATGGACTGACTCCTTACAGCTAGTTCAAAGGAGCCTAACAACAGTTTCTTTAATAATTCAACAGATGTTTAACAGCATTTACAGCTAGAGCACAAAGTAAAGGAACACAGAGAACAGCTATTTGGCTTCTAGGCAGTGACAACGTCACTCCCTTGGGCAGTGAGCTCAGACCCCTGGATGCACACCATTGCTGGCAAGAGGTGAAGGAGATGCTGCTGACCACTGCCTGCCACCCGTGGTAGTCCAAGCCCATGAGGAGGCGGCACCAGAGCTCCCCTGGGCCATCCTCCCAGGTAGGCACTACTGCCTGCAGAGAACTCCTGTGGGTTCAAAGGCAAAGGTCCTGCTATCAAGGGGAAAGGATGGGTTTCATTCCCACAGCTGGCTGTTGGAGCAAGCATCTATGTTAACATCACACCACAAGAGCTGTGAAAATGGGTCCTTGTGGTATTCAGCACCTCTCTCCCCATGAGGAACCACCCCAAAAGATACCTACATCGCAGTAATCGCCCATAGCCCACCTCAAGTGGGCTATACACAAACTGCCAAGAGAGCCCTCAACACCCACTTGTGGTCCCCCGAGGCTGGCAGGCAAGTGCCAGCTAAATACTCGGTGACAGATGTCCTCTCCCTGCTTCTCTGGCCAGGTTACCTCCAGGTTTGGAGCCTTCATTTTGAGGATCCAAATGAGATGACTTACAACCTCTAGATTAATGAAACAAAACACACTTAGGATGCTTCTGGTGTTCTGGGATGTCTGATGCCAGATGCTTTGGGGGGTGTGAGCCTACAGCTCTTACGAGAGTAGCCAGATATAAACAGGACTGCTCACACAGTCAGGCCCTGCAGAGTCAGGTGGCTGCAGCACCGAGGGACACAAAAAGCTCAGACTGGGTTGAAGGACCAAGTTTTTCATGTCGGGAGCACATGTGTATCCTCTCCAAACCCCCTTCACCACTTGAAAGGTTCGGCAAAGTAGCATGCTTTTGGCCCACGCAGAGGATGTGGTTGTGGTTTATACATACCACAGCTGGCAAACTTGGAATCATCTTCACAGAGTTCTTCACCTCCTCTTCTGTCACCTCCACCACAGTACAGTGCTCTTCCTCCAGCGGCAGAGGCTCCTCGCCACCCTTGGTTAGCCACGGATGCACCTGCATGGGGAGGAACACAGAGACAGCTGCCAGTCTCCCTCCTATAGCAGGGCGCTATGATGTCGGTGATGAGAGAAATGGGGGCACAGGACTGATTGAGGGTAAACTGTCGGTACTACTCCATTTTCCACTTCCAGCGATGCGCCTTAACCAGCTTCCTTGGAAATCACTGCAATCTGGTGCCTGGCCAGATGGCATCCCCTAATGCCCCGTGCTGTCGCACTCACGGCTACCAACCAGCATCTTGGAAGAACCGAGCACCCTCTGAATCAAGTTTGAAATGCTTTGAAAACCTGAGTTATCCATAGCATTTTCACCTTTTTCTCTCATATGCACACATTTCATCTAGGGTTACACGTGCTTGCTATCTGGGAGAATCAAGATCGTTTATGCATCTGCACAAGCAAGGGTTTAGGTGCTTAAAATGGAGTACTTGGGTCTGAGTACTGAGGCCTCATGCTACTGCAACGGCCTCCTGCCTACATAAATAGCAAAATAGCACACCTTGCCACCTGGGCACCATGTAAACCTCTACACACCCACAAAGGAGAGAGAAGGCTGTTTCCCACCATCCCGCCCTGTCGCTGCCACGCTGCTGTTGAAGGGAGCTGATGGCAGACAGGGTGAGGGTCTCTGGTACCCACATCCAGGGCTGGATGTTTTGTCCGTCACAGACAGAGCTGATGAATGTTGCTGCTAGAAATGCCTGCCTCACCCTCCAGGATGAGATTAATTAGGATGGATGCTCACTGCCTACTGCCCTTCCAATGAGTTGGACGCAGGTGGCCAGAGTGTTTTCCAAGGGCTTAGTGATGAACTGCTTCACAGCACTCAATTAAGTTGCATTTTCCAAAGATCATTAATTGTGCTTATAATAACTCTTCTGAACGGCACATCACCATGTCCAGCCTTCAGTGAAATCAGTGCACTAAACCCTACAGTCTACCTGGGGCTTGCAAACATTTCGGCTAGGGAGAGGACTGTGTCTAGCCATATGTTCAAGGTTCCTCATAGGAAATTATTTGCTTGATTTATTTTGATGGTGACCAGAAATTCCAAACTCAGTTGGGCAGAGCAGTTAAAATTTTTGTCCAGCCTAACCCCCTTATATAATTTTACCGTCTCCTTCCAGCTTTTGCTATGCTTATCTTCAATGTGGACATCGGAGATTTAACAACAATAAATGATCACATATGTGAAGCAGCATCAAGCTAATGCTCGGCTGCAAACGTTCTTCTGCTGATATGTCGGGATTTTATCTTACAAGTAAGGAACATGAAAAAGAATGAGGGTGGCAGTGTGAAAAAAGGGGAAAACAAAAGGGGAAGGAACCCTGGGAGGAGGAGGTGGTGGCGGTCTGGAGCAGCCACTTAGAAACATCTGGCTATGCAAGAAGCCAAGGCTGGAGCCCCGATGCCATGTGGCCTGTTATATGCTACTTCAGAGCAGAAAAGCTCCTTCGTATTTGTATTCACAGACAAATCGCAAGGGAGTGTGCCATCTCCTCGTCTGGACTGCATCAGCTGCACACGTCGGGCTCTCCTGTACTCTCTAGGCTGGATTCCTCTGGCCAGGGCTTTCAGCAAAGGTGGCAGTCACTCCACAGCCACCGCTGCCAAGAAGCTGCTCAGCTATTGTCTTACTTGGAGGAACAGCAGAGGAAAGCTATCCTCTTTCTCCTGCCGCTCATGGGATGGTTTCCTCAATTGTGAACATGACGAAAGCCATGTTCAAGGCCCTGGGCTGGGCCCAGAGCCCAGCCTGGTGCTAGACACACATGCTCTTTCAGCATTGAACGCAAGTCCTGAAGCACACCAAGCATCTTCAGTGCATGGCCAGGGATAAGATCCAGCACCCAGCTCTGCTCTTCTACCCAAGGTGTCTTATAAGGTGCATGTTTCCACATGAAGTGCCTGCAAGAGCTGCCAAGTGAAATCTCTTAAATACAGCTCTGAATCTTCCCACCATCACTGGCTGTGCCCTTCTGGGCATGGAAGGAAGGGACATCACATTTTTTCTTGAGGTTCAACCCTCCTACTGTCAGCTTTGGTGGCAAATGTGCTGGTGTTGGCCTGAGACAAAGCAAAGAACAGTTGCGTGCCCTGCAGCAGATGCTGATGGATCTCTGCGGAAATCTTGAGATCCTCCAGCAGGTCCGAGGCCTTGGTGAGGGCTGACAGCAGGACAGGAAGCCCATGCAAAACCAGAATGAAGCCAAACCTTGCAAAACATTGTACTCTACCAGGCCTATTCATTCTTACTCCCAAGTAATGCTGAGAGAAACAAATGTGCTGCCTTGATGCTGCTGACCATGCAAGCACCAGAGGAGGAACATGCTTCCAGGCCATGTAATACAGGTCGAACACTGACAGCGCAGTCTCTGCAGCTAGCAGTCCCCATGACAATGTCGATTCTCCTGGGGATTTGCTGAGGATCAGCCAGCTTTTGAGTAATTTTAATTTAAATAAGTAAACAAGAAAGCTTTTCTCAATATTCCCCAAGCAAGCAGCAGCAACAGAGCTGTTACATGCTGCAAAATGAGCACTCTCCCTTTCTGAGGCGGCATGCCAGAGAAAGCTCCCAAAACAAACACTGGGAACAGCTCTGCCTCATTAGATAGTACCAAAGGAACAACAAAATCAGCCGAGACAAAAGACTGTAATATCAATGTCCAATTTACCTTAATTTCAGGGACTGTTATCCTTGTTTCTGGATTTTTATCAAGCATGCGTAGGATCAGTTCCTTGAGTTCTTCACTTATCTGTGCTCTGAGTAAAGAAAATAGCAGTACACAGTTAACAAGGGAATTGTACGTGCTCAAGGCATGCATAGCCCTTACTGCGGTTACTCAGTATAGAATCTGCTCCTCTCAGAAAATATTTTCTCCGCAAACCCAGCTTGAGAAAGGAAGGGCTAGTTGGCTTGGTTCCTTCTCAGGCGTCACAGTCATTGCCATGGTGTTTGGTTATCCTGTTGTAACACAGCTGCATGCTCTCAAAATGCAGGACCAGGGATCAAGTGAATGGATCTAAGGCCATTTTTAAAGACAGCACATTATAGGGGAATTTCAGAGGACAGATTCTGGGACAACAAAGTGTTACTGAGAGCAGGACTGGAGTTGAACTCTAAGATACAAGAAGGGCACAACTTGTTATGCTGAACCTACATCATCAGGAACTGTGTGCTGGACAAAACATCCCCATTTGACATTCAAGTTCCCAGCTAAGCTCACAGGTTGTGTTAATTAAATTGCTTCCGTGAATGCTGACGGCAGCCAGTTCAGTAACTCAGTATTTCCTACCTGTATAGCTCAGCCTTGGGGCAACAAAAGGAGGGAACACACAGATGTGACTAACAGAAATACACCTAATTTTTTTAACACTGTTTCCAAGACCTAAACGCTAGAGTGCCTGAACCCAGAAGCCACTCTATTCACACGGAGCCCTTGGTCCTGCAGTCTGTGCCTCCAGTCCAAAGGCTTCAATGACTTCTGTTGCTAACGATGCACACAACGTCTTTAAAACACACTTGATCTGTATGATCAAAGTGCTACTGAAAAAAAAAAAGCCAGCATACAACAGAATTGTATTAGGCAATTGAAAGTCTGTATCACAGATTACTTTTGAGAAGCCACATTTCTGCATAGAGATGAAATTTGGCAGCATCAAATGTCACTCCCTAGCAGGGATGGATTTCAGATTGAACACACTGATGGGGTCCTCCTCTGCACCCCCCTAAAGCAGAGGAGGGAATAAACTATCATAAACCTAAAAGAAGACCACATCACAGTAAGGGATATTTTAGTCTGATGAAAACAGACCTGCTTACTAATTTATGAATACTTTATGTGGACTTTGGTTATGGGATCTTGAACAACCAACCACAGGAAACACTGCTCGTTCAGTGTGAAGGGGTGGAAAGTGGGTTCAGTTTAAAATCTCAACATTTTTCAGAGTTGCATCAAGGGTCTGCAGTAGACAGGCAGCATGGCCCAGACAAGGGGAATGGCAGGATGAGTCCTCAGAGACTTCCCACTTCCCAGGCTGCACTGCAGGTGACAATTTAGGTAGGGTGACAATTTAGAACAGTGCTGCTCTTGAGAAGAGCTCCAGTCCCAGAGGAACAGCTATGGGGAGTGGCAGTGCATTTAGCAGGTCAGAATAAACAGACTCTTACGGGAGGACCACACTGAGATGCAGGCAAGATGCTGTTTTTAGGATACTTAATGTCAGATCTGTGCCAAACTGGCAACAGCTTTATTTAAAATACAAGAAATGGAATATATAATCACCTAACGTTTCTGGGCACCAGATTGATTTCTACACAACACAGGATTAATGTCATAAGGAAAAGCCCTGTAGAGGATCACGAAGTGTCAGGTGGGATATAGCCAGGTAACAGATCGCATCATCCCGTCTGTTTTTCCTTCTCTCCATTCTGCCAGGGTGCATGCTGTACCCGACGGCATTTTTCATCTGAAAAGCCTGCGCTACCCAGAATTTCTCACAGTCATAGTCCTGTAACAGCTCTAGGGAAAATGCCAAGCATCACAGAGCTCAGCACCCATTTGGGAGGGCTGCCAGCACCATAGATCATTTTACAGGGTGCCCGCAGGTCAGAGAACATTGTCCTGGACTTCAGCTCTTCACCAGGAGGGACTATGCAGAGCTTCTGGCTCTCTTAATGTGTGTCTGGACAGAAACTTCTCCAGCTTGCTTTTTAGTCATGCCAGGATCTTCAGGGTGTGAGCTAATCCCATTTACCTCGTGCCATGCCAAGGACTCACTGACATGAATGAGAACTCCAGAGTGATAAATATTTATCCCAGCGTCTCTAAGGGAAGGGAAGGGACAATGACGCTGGTACAGTCAGCTCCATCTCTGTCCTAAAGGTTGTCAGGAAACAGGCAATGAGTTTTCATGGACTGTCTGCAAACAGGAATGTGTCTTTTGTAGCCATGGTGAAATAAATTGAAACCAAAATATTCCTAACTGTTGCGAGGTGCTAATTCTGTGGGAGGTCAAGGTGGATCCAGTCCAGTGCATTCCAGCTTTATGTGCGTCTCTGTTACTGCCTTTATCTAACAAATAGATGTAGTTTAGACAGCCGTCAACACCCAGCAACTCTCTGCTCCTCCAACAGCCTAACGAGGGGTGCAGCTTTTTTTAGAGTGGGAGAGCAGGTCGCCAAGAAATCCAAATAACTCATGCAGTCGAATTATCACTGAAGGAAATGTCTGAATGAAGAAAAGGTTCTTAGCACAACCCAGTTAGCCCATTAAATGTTAATAACTTACTGCAGACAGATGGGAACAGTCACTTGTAAGCTGACTGCTAACCCAAATATATGATGGTTGAAAGAGGATGGGCATTTTGCCAGAATCCAAGCAAGCAGAAAGAAGACTGTCAGGGAAACACAAACAATTTTTTTTTTCTTTTTTTTTTTTCTGCAGTGCTGTCAAGTCAGAGTCCTGCCCCAACCGCAGAGCAACCGGTGGGAACACGGCAATGTGGCACGACCAGCCTTCGTGCTCTTAATGCCTGAAGCCTGGTTAGCTGTAAAACCTCACCAAGGGCACAGAGCTGCCTTGCCAGAATCACTCCATACCCACGACTGGGGCCTGGGTTTGCCATCTCAAGTGGCCTGACCTTGTGGCTGCAGGTCCTTGGGTGGTGTGCTCCACAGTCCTCGGTGTGAGCTCCATCAGCCTGAGCGGAGATGGCTCCATCTGAACTATCTGCAGTGGCTGTGCTTTGTAGTCAATAGAGCAGTCATTAATACAGCCCCTGGAGCCTGGGGCACAAGTCATCCCTTGTAAAGCAGATGTCTAAAATAGGACAGCCTGAGTACCCCTTGTACCCCTTGCTTTCTGCAGACTCAGAAGGGAGCCTGGGACTGCCAAGGCACAGGTCTAGCCCTTCACTGCAGGTGTCTAAAACTTCAGTGAGCATCTCACAAATAATTCACGTAATAGATGGTGGATACACACACATATTGCGGGCTGCCTGACAACATCCCTCCCTTCCTCTCTAATACCAGATGTGCCTTTCATTACAGTTTTAATTTCTTCATGCTTGTTTTAAATCAAGTCATTTTATCTCTTAGAATGAATGATTGGGTCAAGAAGGTAAAAAATTCTTTGCCTGACTACTGTGCTGATTTGGGAAGGAAGATAAGAGTCCAGCTTTGGCAAGTCAACTGATAACAACCAGGAGAAAGAAATTAACCACCAGCAGAAAAAAAAAAAATCACCAGAAGCCTGAAGAGAGAGGAAACGCCAAGGAGTGCCCAGCACATGAAAGGAAAGGCATGGTGGCTCAGTGGCAGAGCCTGAGCACACATAGGCTGTAATTGTCTCCTGCCAGCCTCCTCTGACAAGACCACACTCACCGCTCAGTGCCTCGACGCTGAACTTTCCACTGCTCAAATGGCACGCAAGTGGCCTTGGCTCATCCCTTGACACCACCGAGTGCACTTTTGTGGGTTACAGGACCGTGCAGTTGGCCATCCCACCCAACACAGCTCAGTAGCCTCTACCATGCAGCTCTGACTGTGGCCTACATGGGTTTCCTTCACTGACCAAAGCGGGGTGGGGGGCAGCCTCTCAATATCAAATGGGTAAATTAATTTCTCTTTTGATCAAAACTAGCCCCAGTTTGCCAGCACACAAGATGAATCCATATTTTCCTGGAGCATGTTGGAGGAGGCAGAGGAGTGGGGATGCACCAAGCTGTGGTTGTATATCTCAGGACAAGTCTCCTTCCATCCAACATTTCCAGTAGCTCCAAGGTAGGTCCACGGAAGCAGCATGTGTTTATGCAGACTGAGACAGAAGTCTATAAACCACACTGCCTTTGGAAACTAATACATTCTGGTGGCTACCACGTGGGAGCAACACAAAACCTCAACCAAACCATGCTTCCAACATCTCCAGGGTCAAGTAGTTGGGGCAGAACTTACTAGACCCACACTAAAACCCTTCTGCTTCCAAAGATTTCAAGACCCATTTCCTTTAGCCCTTATCTGCACAACATGGACACAGGAGCAGCAGAGGCAGCTGTAATGCCTCGACAACAACATCAGCACAAAACCCATGTGAAAGACCCAGGAGAAAGCAAAGCGCCTCGCCTGCCCTTGTCTGTCCCTCCACAGTGACCCACTGGCATTTATGCTGCACAGTGAATAACACTGAAAACTGAACTTTATTTTACAGTAGCTGAGTAAAGTTTACTTACTCTTCTGGGAACTCCACAGGCTTGTTCTTGATCCTGTTATGAAGACCCAGAATATATTCATCTATAAAAGGGCACTGTAAAGCAAACAAAAGATTTTCCAGTTGTCAGATCCTGGCACCATTTAGGCATTTGTCATTCACATAACAGCAAGTATACTCTGTTTGTGCTCTCTCAATTTTATGCAGAGATGGAAATAAATAAAATCTCCCCACACACAATAAATTGATTTGCTCCGTATTAAAAAATAAATGCAGAAGAACAGCAGAGGGATCTAGGGAATACCTAACTGGATTGGGATACCCCCCTCAATCCAGCCTACCAGGTGACCATGAACCACTCGTTTTCCCTTTCTCTGCTCCATTTCTACCTGCAAAATGGAGATACTGATACCCGCCCGCTCCTATCACTGCTTTGAGGTCTCTCTGTGACAAGCATAATTTGGAGCTAGGTATTACTATTAAAACACTTGGGTTTCCATTTTAAATTCAAGTATCTGTATTCAAAGCATATTTTTCTCCAGCAGAAGTTTTTACACTGGATTAATTTAGACCTAGATTCTGACTCTTTCTACCTGACAGGGCAGGCAGGCGGCTAAGTGAGCTGCAGTGAATACTGCAGGGGATGCAGGAGCAGCGTATTCACAGGCCTTATGAATATCTGCATCAAAACTGAAGGAGCAGATACACTTGTTTCCGTGGGCTGTGGGCTGCTGGCGGGCCCTGTCTCAGCCTGCGTGGCCAGATTAAATTATGAAATCTAAAATAGGTACAAGATGTACAATATTTACTGTACAGGGACACATGGAACAGACAAACTTGAGCTTGGCTTTATATTCCCTCTTTCCTCCAGTGCTTGCCACAGCAGGAAGTAATATCATCATGAGGTTACACCAGAACACAAAATCAAGGTTATGCCCTTTCACTTCAGGATTTGGTCCAAATGAGACACCATTGTAGACACAGGGCAGAGAATATTTCCCATCCCGACTTAGCTCAGCGATATCACACCAGCAATGGAGCTGGTTCTGCCTCTGCCATCTTCCCCAGCCACTTCCTACCCCTGAGCTGGATGCCTTATGTGCCTGTGTGGTGGGATCTGCAGCTTGGACAGGAGGTTCAGGGAACGGACCTGCACACACATACTGCCTCTACCTGTTGTACTGCTCACCCTGGGAGAGCATGGGTGGGACGAGGGGCTTTTGGCTGCAGGGGAGGGAAAAGCCATGACAGGACACAGTTTGCAGAAGGCAGCTCTGAAAAGTGGTCCAGCTCAGCTCTGGTAGACAGAGCTTTCTGTAATCTGGATTGCTAAAGTGCTGCATTGGCTTGGGATCAAACCTGAGCCTTTCTCCATGCTCTATCTGGCTTGTTTCTAAATATAGGCAATATGGATAAGCCCTCAACAAACTATTCTTGGTGCTACTGATGCTACTCTGGGTTTATAGCACAAACAACTGCTCTCAGTACAGGGGCCAACTCTAGAAATCATCCTTTCCACAGATCACCACGTCAGTCCCTTCTCATCCACAGGGTGATTTGGGAAAACAGGAGCTTGCAGAAGGTAGGTCTTTGATTCTGATATTTGCCTTTATTTGGAAAGGAATGAATCAAAATCCTGTGCAAGGCTCCAGCATCTGAAAGCCAGCTTACCTTCCCGTAAACAAAGCAGTACAGGGTAATTCCCATGGCCCATACATCAAGTGCCTGAAAGAAAGCATGCGCAGGCAGTAAATGAGATGCAACACAGATGATCTGAATGAGCTGGATTTTCCCCACTGACTCACAGAACATTATTTGTATGCATTTAACATTTTCCATTTTATTGTGCACAGTCTCTCTGAAGTTGGGCTCCTAAAGGCATTTGTAGCATGCCTGGGAAATGAGGACTGTGCTGGGCCAGACGCTGCCACCCTTTACCCTGCTGTGGAGTGCAGTGACCAGTAAGCAGCCCCTTCTTACAGGGGATGACACCATTCAGGGCTGAAGAGGAGCTGAACCTCAAAAAGTCTTCTTCCAGGCAAAAATAATACACTAGAACCTATCCCCACATCTGCATCACAGCACTTTGCTGTGTCCCTCGCTTTCAGGGGATCAAGACGTGGCCTGGTGTTCAGCAGCTCCCTGCACTTCTTCATTATATTGGAAGGGAATTAGGAGTTTTCTCCCTTCCCTTTGGGCAGGGAAAGGGCTCTAACATGGTCTGGACAGAGTTCTGCAGCAAAGCCTGTCTGCCCACTGCATAGACCAGCCAATGCAAGTTTTGCTTGGACTGAACACAGAATTAGGGCTTCAGTTTTACTTAAAAACAACCTCAATTTGCACCATAATTCCTGGGCAGGCAACATGCAAAGGACACAGGTGTTGTGCTGCCCTTTGTGCCATGCTTGGGGGTCCCAGAAGACTGTGAGCAAAGACCTACCTTTCCACTGAAACTTTTGCCCGTGTCCGAAATGGCCTCTGGTGCCATGAAGGCTGGTGTCCCTGCTGTGCTGGAAAGCTGGGCATCGTTCCCTTCAAATTGATTGCTGACTCCAAAATCAGCGATTTTGACATGCCCATCATCTCCTAAGAGCAAGTTGGAAGGCTTGATGTCCCGGTGAATGATCTTCTGGTAGTGCACTAAGAAAAAAATATTAAAATAAAAATAGGAGCATGGTCTGCCACAGCAGCCAACCCACCCAGAGGAAACCTTTCCAGGAGGATGAAAATACAGGTGCAAGCTCAGGCATCCCACTCAAGGCTGCTGCTGGGTATGCAATACAACGCAGTAGAAGTACCTTTTCCTATAGTCATTCCTTCTCAGTCCCTCACTGGGATGTACAGACCACAACACTCCAAAATACATCTGTTGCCAGCAATTATGCAAAGAACAGACATGAACCCAGAAACAGCCCAACCAGCGAGATCGAGCAGAGCTCTTAGAGAAGGGAATCACTAAATCTTGCAGATTTGCTTGTCTTCATCAGACCAGCTGATGGGTTGGGCAGCTTGCTGTATTAAAGGTTTATGGGATCCAATTGATGTTCATTTTTAATTTGTTTATTTTGAAACCGCAGTGCCATAAAGCTAATCAAAAGGGGCAGAATGAAACAGGCCCAAAGGAGGTATTTAGGCAAAATAAGAAAATTAGCAGCCAAGCATCAAGGCCAGCCAACAGCTGAGAAATCAGTGGATATATCCAACCCAAAAGATGCCTCTGACCATGGAGCAATCACCAGCTGGTTAGAGCCAGCACCCCTGAAAAGCCACTCTTTCTCTAGCCATGCTTTCCAACGGAGCCCACAAAAAGAGAAATGACATCAACTTGTTTTGCATCACCCCAAACCCCCACCACCGCACAAAGCTGCCAGCCACTCCGATCATTGGCACTCAGAGCCACGGCCAAAATCTCTGCCATGGGGCCCTTCAGTGCAAAGGTTGTCCCTATGTGTGTCCCTTCGCTCCACGAGGCTGCAGCAAAGACCCCAGCTCTGTCCTGGCTCCATGAAGCCAGCTACAGGAACCAGTTGAATCACTTGTAAATCCACAATGAAACAAACCCTTGAAAAGAGCTTGAAGGCTGAGATACACTGAAAACACCACCAACAATAAAAAAATCCCACTCATGACAATCTATCTGGGAAGCAATATTGCAGCTGCAAGAAAGCCATTTCTGGACAACTGAGTGAAGCAGCAGCAGAGAGTTGTAGGAAAGTGGCTGACTTCTCAGGAACTTGGAGAACAAATTTAACAAAAAAAAACCCCTACACTTTCAGAACACAAAATGACCCTGAAAACAGAGCTGTAGAAAACCGAAGAGATTTGTTTTACTGAACAGGAGAGGAAATCCTCCAAGTCTTTACTGCCCTTCCCAGGGGAACAGGACCCCTCGTTCTCCCTCCTCCCCCAGCCCCAACCACCATTTTCATATTTCCTTCTTACAAACAGAGCATGTTTGGTTTTATATCTCCTCATGAGCACTTTTCATATCTCCTAGGAAATGCACAGCTGGGTGGGGGAAAATGCTGCTCTAATCCTTTCCTGCTTTACAAACCTGGTCAACACATTGCCACAAAAGCAGCCTGCCCCATGGAGCATCTCAGCTTGTATTTAGGACCAAGAAAGAACAAGCTTCAAGTAATTGTTCTGCTCTTTTCAAGCCAGCTTTCCAACAGGTCATGGATGAGGAGGGGAAGTCACGCTTGCAGATACTACTTCTGCCAGGCCTTCTCCTTAGTTTAAAGCAGTCAGGGGATGCTGTCCTTGGCACATTAAAGAGCTGATCTGGAGACCCAGCAGACCAAAGCTTGCTGGAGAGCACTAGTGCTTACATCCTCTTCCAGATGTGCAGCAAACACATAGCCACACTGTGATGTGAGCCAGTTAATGCTGTAACAGCCTGGCTAGACAGTCAGGATAAACACTGAAAACCCTGCAACAACAGTAATTATGAGGAGACATCTGCTCCACAGCAAAGCTGGTGGCAAGCTGACATTTCATTATGGTAATATAGGGAGAGGGAAAAAAAAAAGTGAGGGGAGTGAAGTTTCCCTTCAGGAGATGATGAGCTGCCTTTCATGCAAGTGTCTGGTATCAAGTCTGATACCACACAGCTAAGATTCTCAATGCCTCTAAAAAAATACAGGCCACAAATATACATGGGCCATGGAAATACATCCCTGGACCTAAGTCTGTGAAAACTGAGGGAGTTACATTAGGCATGCAGGTACTCTAGCCTTTTTACTATTTCTTCTGTACAGGAAAGTAAAAACACCAAAACAAAACCACAAACCAATTCCCATATCAAATAACTATTTATCTTGTAAAACATGTTCCCTGCCCTTGCACAACCTACTAAAAGCAGAGGAAAAACAGAGGCCGTTTGCCAGATGCTCTGTGTTTGCTCAGTGCCCATCTCAGTCTGGTACCCAGCAGGTCTGGGCACTGCTGGCTGTTACGCACAGGAGTAATATGAATGTTGAACAAAGAAATAAGAAACACATCCTTTGCAAAAATTAAAGCCAAACACTAGGGTCAACGAACATTTGCACCTCCCAGCCCAGAACATCCATGTGGTTGACATGAGCGTTACGGATGGCGACAGTCTGACCTCAACTGCTGAGAGCAAAACATTAGCACAAGTGCCTGCAGGGCAGAGGAGCACAGGTTGTGCTTTCAGAAGTGAGCCTGACACGTCCCAGGGCTTTGCCATGCAATGTCAGCCAGGCGCTTCTGCAAACCTGGCACACAGTTTAAGTAATAACAAACTGGGATGGGAAAGAGATGGGAGTGGAGGGGAAATGGCTGGCCAGGTCAGGAGCAGCGGTGCTGGGAGCAGTGTCCAACTCACACGCCGTGCTGCTTTGCCACACTGTTTGGGTGACAGTAATGAAAGTCTTGTGCCAGCTGGCTCACAAGACTTCTGCTATCAGCACATCCCCTCCCCTATCCAGCTGACTTGTGCAGAGGCAATAGCCATGAAGGGAGAAAGATGTGGGACAGGAATTGTGCACTGAGCACCAGCTGGTGTAAATGAACAATGCTCCATCACAGCTATAAAAATTGTGAGAGCAAGAGCTCACATCTGCCAAGAAACAATTTGGTGTGGAGCCGCTAACCTGATGAAGGCAACCTGAAATCCCTTTTCTGCTCTGAAGAAACACAATTCTTAAAAGTCCCAGTCTGCCAGCCGCTGCGGGCTTCCTCCCCTGCGCAGCTATCCAAAGCAGGCTTCAGGCTTCAAAACGCATGGTCCTATCCTTTCATGTGCTGTGCCTTGCCACTGGTACAGTTCAGTACAATACAGGGCTACAGAAAGAAGAGTAAAAGATTCCCCCGAAATCATTCCCAAGTCCACTTGTAGGCAACAGAAAAAACCTGGCTTGTTTCAGAGCTGCAGAAAGGAAGCAGGACTGTGCATCTGCAGGACATCAACACCACTAAGCTCAGAAAAACTTTCCAAGCCACCAACTTTTGCTGCAAGTCCAGATCTCTTGCAGGTAACGCATTGCAGGGAGAAAGGCAGGGAACAATGAATTCAGCAAGGCTGGCCAAAAGCTGATCGGCCAAGCGGTGTGATGTGCCTGCGGTGACACAAGCATTACTGCTACACACTGCGAAAGGAGTCTGGCGACAGAGCTGTCTTGCAGGAAAGGTACTTGTTAAACCAGCATGATCTGCATTTCCAGCACAAGACGCAGAGGAAAAGATGGTGTTATCCCTGCAGAACTCCAGAGGGAGAGCTACACATCTCAGAAATAAAAGCCTACCACTAATGATACCCTCGAGACTGCTAATGACTGTATAGAAGGGACAGCGGCGCAAGGAGCACACAACCCATGGAGCCACCCAAGGGGAGCAGGTGACAGCCACAGTCAAACACAATCACCAGCACAAAGTAACTCTCTAATTTCACCAGCCTGAAGCATCTGGGAGCAAGCCTCTTCCCTCTGCAGATGTAAGAGCAGCAGGTAGGAAAGGCACCTTCATTAGGATTGCTGTTCAATGTCACTGGAAGCCAGGACCAGAGGTCCCAGAAACAAGACACTCATCCTCTCCTTGGGATTAGGGCCACTAGCAAACAGGAGCAGGGCTGCGTCAGGCACAGAAGATTTTATTCAACATCTGAATAAAAACCCCAAATGTGCTTTAAAGAAACATAACCAGAATAACTATCTGCATCGCTGCACCTAAACTTGCTCCATGAGGGTTTGGGGATTATTCTTTTAAACCGACCCATGACCTCCCCTTAGTTCCCTTCAAGGGGAATTGGGACCCCTAAGTGGAGTCTGTGTCTTCGAGAGAACTTCCAGCTACTGTGTTTCCTGCTCAAAGAGCCTGGTCACAGCAAGGCACTGCATTTTTTGCTTGCGACATTACAGAAACAGTCACAAACCAGGCAGACATCAGCCCTGTCAAGACTGCCCTCAGACCCATGCCGTCCAGCCCTGGGGACATGGCTGCTGGATGCACGCAGCCTGGAGAAGGACCATTGCAGCAGTGCTCCCCTCCCAGGCCCCACCTGCCACACACAACGGGGACATCAACAGCAGAAAAACACTCATTCCCATGCAAATGTACCTGTCTGCATCCCTCCCAAGGTTAAAATCGACACTGAACAGGCCAAAGCAGAGTACTTTACTGAAGCTGCTTTGGCAAACTGACAAAATGGTTCCAAGCGTTGCTTTTCGGAAAGGATTTTGCTCTTAAAGTAGAGGTCAGCAGCTCCCTGGGCTCCAAGATTCTCTGCACTTTCTGTTCTGACAGACCTGATTCAAAGAATAGATCGATACCTCTTCATAATGAAAATGAAACAATGTAAGATGTTACAGAGCCCTTAGGAGAAATTCTGATTCTGCAGCACTCCGTTAAATTCGATTCTATCAGACCCATCCTTCACTTCAGTGGAAAGGTAACAGTATTTCAGGCCTATTTGCATCTGAATAACAGTCCCGTGGATTTCTAGAGCATCATCTAGGCAAAGATCCCAAAGTGCATTAGAAATACTTGTTTCATCACAAATTGTGTTAGAAAGCCTCACTGGGCCTACCTGAAGTTGGACTTAGTCAAACCCTAGAGTCCCAGGGTGCTCAGAAACAAGGGAAATCATGCTTGAAAGTCTAGACTGCCTCCTGACATTG